GCACATTGAGGTAATAGGAATGCGCTTTATAAGCACTGCTAAGGCATTATTATTATTATTATTATTATTATTATTGTTATTATTATTATCTCTATTTTAGTATTCACAGAGACGACCTTATTTTTTAAATAAGTGTGTACAGACTAAGTTGGCGACCGTCTGTTGCACAATAATAAACGTTAACCTAAATCACATGCTGTGTGGTATTTTTCGCGCTTGTCAATCAAAGGGACCACTGCTCATGAGTAAAACCTTATTTATAGGTCTTCTGTAAAGGTATATATCATGACGAATTTTCTTAAAATAAACAGTAAAAGAAGTAATTTGCACTATGCACTAAGCCGCAAACTGAATTACGTTTGTTGGGTCGCCCGTCATTCCACGGTTTTGTTCGGGAGTCGTCGGTTTTCCTCTCTCGGCCTTCGCAAAAGCTAACGAGTTTTAATTTATAATTCAAATGATCTGTGAGTAAACTGCCCAGACATTGCTCCAGGGTTCGATCTGTGAGTTAGCTGCGTCCTGACTAAGCTCAGCCGAGACATTATTTCATTATTTTAAATTTCAGGCAGGCTAATATCACAACTTACTGATTAACCCAGAAAATATTAAAAGTACCTTTATTAGAATAAACTCTGTTCTTTCTTTCTCTTTACGAAGTCGCAACCTAAATGACGAAAGGGTGATGACATGCTGGGGCAGGTTTACTACAGGAAACCGAAGTTCGATACAGTTGAGTAAAGAAATCAATAAATATTAATCATCCAAACTGAAAACCATTTATTACTTACCTAATGCAAAAGTTATCAAACTTTAAGATTTTTAAAGTACCTATACTGAGGTAGCGAAGATTGCCAAGAGGACTAATCTATATTATGGGCTACATTTCTATCTCACCATCTGGGGAATGTCAAGATCAATTTATAGTGTAGTGCATTTACAATGTGTTTGCTTCCACATAGTATCTGTCAACTAACAAGTCTTCACTGTCATCGGGTCGCTTCAAGCCAWTGTTTCTCGTGGATGAATAACTTACAAAAAACTTACTGTTCTTAATATCATTGTTCTTACCGCCAAAAGTTGCCCAAGACTGAAGATCCTACTGGCAAAACGTTTTAAGAGCGGTCTACAAGAGCTCGTAAACAGTACATTCATGTAACGTCATGAAATCCTGAGTCCAGAGACGTCACTCAACGTAAAAATTATAATCACAAAATCACAAATCACCCGATATAAAWATCAGGAAGACCGATGCATAGTTGATGTTCGAAAAAATAAAACAAGAGAAAATAAAAGCAAATCAAACCAACAAAAAAAAAA